GTAAGGCTCTGGAAATATTAGAAGAATATGGCAAACTATCCGGTTTTAAATTGAATAAATCAAAGACAAAAATGCTGACTAAAAATCTGGGAAAAGATGAAAGAGAAAAATTAAGAGATACAGAATGGAATCAAGGTGGCTAAAATAATAAAATATCTAGGAATTTGGCTAACTACAAAAAATATAAACTTAATTCAGGATAATTACTTGACAACATGGAAGGAAATTAAAAAAGATCTAGATACATGGAACAGAGCGAAACTTCCGTGGTTGGGAAGAATGGCGGCAATAAAAATGAACATACTCCCAAGAATGTTATTCTTGTTCCAAAACATCCCTGTGATTAGAGGTTCCACAATGTTTAAGGATTGGCAGAAAACTCTTTCGAAATTTATATGGCAAGGGAAAAGACCGAGAATTAGATTCAAATTACTCACAGATCGAAAAGAAAGAGGGGGATTCTCGGTGCCAAATTTGAAATTATACTTCGAGGCCTCCTGCCTTTGTTGGATCAAAGATTGGATTAATTTGGAAAACACCGACCTGTTAGACCTACAAGGTTTCTACAATAGGTTCGGTTGGCACGCCTACCTGTGGCTAAATAAAGAAAAGGTACATAAAGGGTTTTCAAGTCATATTATTAGAGGACCACTATATGAAGTTTGAGAGAAAAATAAAAAACTTTTAGAATGGAAGATGCCCTGGTGGTTATCACCAATTGACATTTTAACAACCAAAAAAGCAAATATGGAAGGAGAAAGATTGACCTACGAAGATCTACTGATAAGATCAGAAAGTGGCTGGAAATTGAGAACATATGAAGAGCTGAAAGACAAATTAACAGGCTGGCTGCAGTATCATCAAATAAACGCAATATGGATGGAAGACAAAAAAGTAGGGATAAGTGAGAAAAAATCTAAATTTCAGATAGAAATAATTGAAGGCAAAACCAAGTTATTATCCAAAATGTATGATATATTATTGGAATGGGACACTAAAGATGAAGAAATAAAGGAGGTTATGACAAAATGGGCAATGGATTTGGGATACAATATAGAATATGAAAAGTGGTCGAAATTATGGAGTTATAGAATGAAATTCACGGCATGTGTCACGCTTAGAGAAAATTTAGAAAAAAAGATGTATAGGTGGTACATCACACCAGCAAAATTAGGAAAAATGTACAAAACAGGAAATAAAGCCTGCTGGAAGTGTAAAATTAAAGAAGGCAATTTCTACCATATGTGGTGGACTTGCGAGGAAATGAATAAATTTTGGGACCTGATTTATAACAAGTTAAAAAAAATATTTAAATACACTTTCCCTAAAAGACCAGAGGCCTTCCTATTAGGAATAATTGGGGATGAAATTAAAAAAGAAGATAAAACACTTTTCCAATATTCGACAGTAGCGGCTAGAATATTAATTGCACAAAATTGGAAAAGTTCAAATACCCCAACGGTCAGAGATTGGCAAACAAAATTATTTGAATATGTTGAATTAGCAAAAATGACGCAAAAAAATAGAAACCAAAAAAATACAAAGTTTATTAGCGATTGGAATAAATTTATGGTATATATTGAAGGAAACTATAGAAACTTAAAAACTACAGCAGGTCTGATATAAATCTTATGATGCGCAAACCATTAGCTGCAGAAAAAAGAGAATTTTTATCAAGAAGCCCAAAATCGGGAGGGAAGGAGGTCAATACGTGTGTAGAGGAAAGATCTAAATATCTAAAGATATAAAGATTCAAGGAGTAAGACAAGGAACCGTAACGGAAATTGATGCTATTTTTGTGTTATGTATGGATATTTTTTCTTTTTTTTCCTTTCTTTTTTCTGTAACTGTTGTTTTGTTTTGGTTATTTAAGTGAAATTCAATAAAAAGAAATAAAAAAACAAAAGCTTTGCATATTCAATGAAGCAGAATTAGATGTCTTTCTGGAACTCTCTAGCTTTCTCCATAATCCAGCGCATGTTTGCAATTTGGTTTCTGGTTCCTCTGCCTCTTCTAAATCCAGCTTGCACTTTGGGGAGTTCTTGGTCCACATACTGCTTAAGCCTGCATTGTAGAATTTTAAGCATAACCTTGCTCGCATGTGAAATGAGTGCAATTGTGCGGTAGTTGGAACATTCTTTGGGATTGGGATGTAGAGTGTTCTCCAATCCTCAGGCCACTGCTGAGTTTTCCAAACTTGCTGGCATATTGAGTGTAGCACCTTAACAGCATCATCTTTTAAAATTTTAAATAGTTCTGCTGGAATAGCATCACTTCCACTGGCCTTGTTATTTGCAGTGCTTTCTAAGGCCCATTTGACTTCACTCTACAGGATGTCTGGCTCAGGGTCTCCAGGATGTCTGGCTCAAGTGGTGGAATTAGGCATAGCTAAAAATTACTTATCCATGCAAATTGAGAAGGGCAAAAATGGATCTTTCTTGGTTCATCAAACTGCAAAAATTGATGATCTTGTTGAAATGCTATGTTTAGAAAATGCAAATGGGAAGGAAACACCTATGGTGTGTGGTTTCACCTTTACAGGTGAAGATAAGTCATTTCCTAACAAAACTTTGTATTGTTCAGCTATAGGCAAGCTAAATTTCATTCAAAGAATCTCAAGACCAGATATAACTTATGCTTTTCACTTTCTGGCAAAATTTGTGGAAAAGCCCACAACGGAATGTTTCTCTGCTCTTAAGAGAGTGGTAATGTACCTTAAACATACCAAACATTATAGGTTGCAGTTTACAAGTATTGACAAAGGTTTTGAAATTTTCTGTGATGCATCTCATGCAGTGGCACAAAATAATTGCAGGGGTGTGTCTGGTATGGTGTTTTGTTATAACGGTTGTCCATTTGAATGGAAGTCCCAGACACAAACCATTATTTGTCTCTCCACAACAGAGAGTGAATTATGTGCATGCGTTCAGGCCACTCGTGATATAGAATGGTATCTGCAAGTATTTGCCGACCTACAGATGAAAGTAACACTACCAGTAAAAGTTTACCTTGATTCCCAGAGTGGACTCGCTATCCTATGTTCAGAGACCAATACGCAGCGCACTAGAGTCTTAAGGTTACGTTTACAGTTTGTAAAGAAACTAATTGCTGATGAAATGATTGTATTTCAGTATGTTCCAGGTGACAATCAAATGGCAGACATTTTTACTAACGCTCTTCCAAAGGTTACACATGAAAGACATGTACAAAATATGCTTTATGTTTTTGTTCCACAATAATGAACCACAGGAGAAATGTTGAATGGTCACTTTAAAATGTGAAGGTTCATTATTGTTTCACAAGTTGTGTATGTCTTTAAGGGCCAGGGCAAATAACGAGACCCAGTCTTACAGCTGTGAAACATAGCAGGTGCTGCTGAGGTGTGTTAATCAAGCTGTGTCAGCATTTGGGCATAGTATATAAGGAGCAGCAACTAGCTCCCTCATTATCCTGGGGGATGGGTTGGTGGTTGGGTCTGGTTTGTTGTTGATGTATTTAGTGTACAAGGAGTTTTTGTTTTTGTTATTAAAAACTTGTTTAAGTTATTTTTGAGTCCCTTTTTAATGCATGGTCTCCCCAGCAAGCTCTCTGCAGCGCTACTAAACAGCAAATAGCAAAGAGTTTTCACTTCAACTGAAGCTCCTTCCACACTCTATACATTCAAATGGTTTTTCCCATGTGTGTTCGTTGATGTCGTTTACATTGTCCACTTTGACTGAAGCTCTTTCCACACTCTATACATTCAAATGGTTTTTCCCCTGTGTGAGTTCGTTGATGTTCTCTTAAGTGTCCCCTTTGACTGAAGGTTTTCCCACACTGCATACAATTAAATGGTTTCTCCCCTGTGTGAGTTCGCTGATGTTTTCTAAGGTCTCCACTCTGACTGAAGCTCTTTCCACACTCTATACATTTAAATGGTTTTTCTCCTGTGTGAGTTCGTTGATGTTGTCTATATTGTCCACTTTGACTGAAGCTCTTTCCACACTCTATACATTTGAATGGTTTTTCCCCTGTGTGAGTTCGCTGATGTTCTCTATAGTGTCCACTTGTATTGAAACTTTTCCCACACTCTATACATTTAAATGGTTTCTCCCCTGTGTGAGTTTGCTGATGTTTTCTAAGGGTTTCACTTAGACTGAAGCTCTTTCCACACTCTATACATTTAAATGGTTTTTCCCCTGTGTGAGTTCGCTGATGTTCTCTATAGTGTCCACTTTGACTGAAGCTCTTTCCACACTCTATACATTTGAATGGTTTTTCCCCTGTGTGAGTTCGCTGATGTTCTCTATAGTGTCCACTTTTATTGAAACTTTTCCCACACTCTATACATTTAAATGGTTTCTCCCCTGTATGAGTTCGATGATGTTGTTGAAGTTTCTCACTTTGACTGAAGCTCTTTCCACACTCTATACATTTAAATGCTTTCTCCACTGTGTGAGTTCGTTGATGTAGTCTATAGTGTCCACTTTGACTGAAGCTCTTTCCACACTCTATACATTTAAATGGTTTTTCCCCTGTGTGAGTTCGTTGATGTAGTCTAAGTTTCTCACTATGAGCGAAGCTCTTTCCACACTCTATACATTCAAATGGTTTCTCCCCTGTGTGAGTTAGATGATGTCGTCGAAGTTTCCCACTATTAGAGAAGCTCTTTCCACACTCTATACATCTGAATGGTTTCTCCCCTGTGTGAGTTCGCTGATGTATTCTAAGGTTTGCCCTTAGACTGAAGCTCTTTCCACACTCTATACATTCAAATGGTTTTTCCCCTGTGTGAGTTCGTTGATGTCGTCTTAAGTTTTCCCTTTGACTGAAGCTCTTTCCACACTCTATACATTCAAATGGTTTCTCCCCTGTGTGAGTTCGATGATGTAGTCGAAGTTTCTCACTTTGACTGAAGCTCTTTCCACACTCTATACATTCAAATGGTTTCTCACCTGTGTGAGTTCGTTGATGTTGTCTTAAGTGTCCCCTTTGACTGAAGCTCTTTCCACACTCTATACATTTAAATGGTTTCTCCCCTGTGTGAGTTCGATGATGTTGTTGAAGTTTCTCACTTTGACTGAAGCTCTTTCCACACTCTATACATTCAAATGGTTTCTTCATTATTCCTTTTGAATTTACAGATGGCCCCCCAGAACTCTTGCCTGTCTTCTCCATCGTCTGCCTCAGAGTGCAGGGAGACAAAATCCTGTTGGTGTTTCAAGGGAGAGAACAAAGGAATATGACACACATCAAGTTCAATTGGCAGTCATCCCAATTAGTATTTATAATTATGATGTGCCACCAGATCTCGTTCCCATTTTCTGACACAGGACTATCCTAGTGTAAATTCTCTGCCCAGGCCTCTCTCACTGTCCTTTCTCCATTTGCCTCACTCCTGGACGTACCTCCTCTATTTCAAGGCGGAATCTGTGTCACACTGAAGAAGGTCGATATTAAACATCAATATATAACTGCACTTAATGGAAACTTCAGCCTTGGATATTTAGCACTGATTCATTCATAGGATGAAGCTGTTACTTTTATTGCTGGAGACACAAATTTATTTCTGATCTATCAAATACATTAATAGTATTATGTCATGGGGTGTTGGGGCTGTGGAGTTTGGAGCTGACAGGGTTAAAACTCCATGGTGTCCTGTATCTGGGAGGAGCTTGACGCAGAGAAGCACGTCACAGTCTGTGTCACTCTCCAGACTTGCTTTCAATTCTGGCTGAGACGCAGCTCAGCTTGGAGGCTGTGTGTGTGTGCTTTTGGAGCACAGTGAGAAATGTCGGAAGTTTCTGATGGATTTACTGCTTTGTAAATAAACGCTTCTAGAGATAAGAACCAAACTGTCTTTGGACTTGATTTATCCCTCATCTCACACGGACGCAGGACCGCTGCTACTCTGCTCTCCTGCCAGGTCAGCTCCCTAACAGAGACGCACAGGGAAGCCTGACTGGACGCAGGATTTATTTACGCAAAAGCATAGGTTATGGAAGTTCCGCGTTTCCTGACAAGTGTGAGAAGGGAGGAAGACTGCCAGCGTTATGTCGCTGAAAGCTCCTGCCAGGAAGGGCAGTGAGGAATGCTGGAGAGCGGAGCCAAAAGCCAGGAAAGACGGCTGTTTCAGAGGTCCAGCTTGCTGGCAAACGCGTGAGTACGCTTAAAGCCCTGGTGGGTGGAAGATGGCTGCTGCTGACTTCTGGGGGCAGCGCGAACGGCAATGGCGGTCCTCTTTACTTTGTGAAGAGGAAGCTCCTGCAGAAACGGGTCGTCTGCTACGGCGAAGCGGAGACCCAGCTCGGAAAACCACAGGCAGCGTTAGCCTGTGGCCGTGGGACTTGGCGGGCACCGGGAGCGCCCCCTGAAACGTCAAAGGAACCCCGTAAGGGGCTCCGGAGCGTGAAAGGGCTGGCGCGGTGCTGTGAGTCGATCGCTCTTTCTGAGGAGTGAAGCCGCTAAGCTGCTGTCGGTGAGCGCTGACCCTTTTCCTGGGACCATTCGGCTCTAAAGGAAACTTCCCGTGAGTAAGTGAAGCTTAATTATCGGGTCCAAATTTGAAATTTGGCACTGCGGGAGACGCAACCAGGAAGTCCGTCTCCCGGCTCTGCTTAAAGATCAAAGCAAAGACAGAAACTTCTAATGCCTTTGAATTTGAGATCTTTAAAAGGAAATAATCTTGGCAACAACTGAACTGTTTTACACCTTTTATGTTTGCGGACTTTACCTTATACTGGTGGATATTCCTTTTAACCTTTTTTCCTCTTCCTCTATGGATTTATAAAACTTTCTTTTTCAAGAAACCCAGGCAGCCGGGCTGCCAGACTATTGGAATTTTGGACTGACTGTCTTTGTTACATTGGACTGTTACATTGCATTGCAGCTGATTTGTTATATTGAAACTGGCACTTTCTAGAGACATTGTGACTAACCTGAGACCAACTCTGCTAAGGCTAAAAAAACTGGAGGACTTTTTGAGACTTTGAAGCTGTCTGATACCGTCACTAACTTGTAAAGGCATGTGGATTAATTTGGAATCTTTGCATGAACAACAACTTTTTTCTTTGTAGGATATATTTAAACTCCCCCTAGAGGAGCTTTGAAAGTCTACAACTACCGGGGGTTGTTTTTCTCTTATTTGGGGACTTGTGGATTCCCACGGGAATTGCAATTTGACTGACTTTGAATCATAGACAGAAGTGGAATGAGTGGAACTGGGAGAACAAGATCAGCTAAAACTAGATCACAACTAGCTACCCTAATCTCACAATTGCGCAGATCATCTGTTCCCACTATTTCTGCGGCACAGGAGGAAGAGACAGAGCAAGCTAGGCTGGAGGGAATGGCCGCAGGTGGGGACATAACTTCATTATTGGAAAAAATCTATGAAAAATTGGAAGGCCTGAGTAACCAAGTGACTAAACAATCTTCTAAAATTGACCAAAATACAGTTAGTATTAATCATCTGACTCAACAAGTTGCTTTAAATGCACAATCAATTGGGAAACTTTTGGAAGCCACTACAGAAAATCGTAAACTAGCCGAGGAGGCAAAACAGAAAGCAGAGGCCGTGCATGAGGAAGTAAAACCTATGTGCAAACAGATTGATGAGCACCAAGCATACCTGTCTATGATAGATTTAAAAAGCAAGGAGAATAATCTGAGGCTGAGATCAGTTCCAGAACTTGAAAAAGGAGATTTAACTGAATATTTGACAAAAGAATTCACTGAATATTGGTCTTTGGAAGAAGATAAGGACTTTAAAATTGTAAGTGCATTCAGACTTGGAAAAGGAGGGAGGAAAGGCAAGTTCAGAGACTGCCTGATCTCTCTCAGAACAAAGGCAGAGAGAGACAAGATACTGAGTGCACATTTTCAAAAGACACTTGAAATTCAGGATTTGAAAGTGGAAATTTACAAGGATATCCCTAAACACTTACTGGATCTCAGATCTAGCTACGGAGATCTGGCGAAATTATTGAGAAGCAACGGAATTGCATTCAGGTGGGAGTTCCCCCAGGGACTTTCCTTCACCTTTAGGGGTAAGAAAGTTAAAATCAAGACAGTGGATGACAAATAAAAATTCTTGAACGACCACGGAGAAGACCTTCAGAAAGGGATCGGAGGGGAACTTGGAGCCTTAGGACATGAACTATCAAGTTTGACACCTACACCTCAGGGTACTGACGAATTGGAAGTGATACCACACCAGGTGAAAGAATAAATAGCCCAACATGTCTCTGCAACTTCTAAGTTGGAACATTCATGGTTTCAACTCTCCAGAGAAAAGAAGGAAGATTTTTCATTTATTAAAAAAGGAACAATTGGACATTATCTGTTTACAGGAAACACACGTGATTAGGCTGCACAGGAAGGTGCTAATCAACAAGAGACTAGGCCAAGAATTTATATCATCTGACAGAGTGAAAAAGAGAGGAGTTGTGATTTATGCAAAAGAAGGCCTATCACCTAAATTTCTTTTTAAAGATGAGCAAGGAAGAATTTTGGCTATTGAAATTCAAACACAAGGAGAAAATTTTTTGATTTTGGGGATTTATGCACCAAATGAGGGGAAATCGGAATTCTACAAGAAGCTGCATGATATAATGTTGGACTACATGGACTATAACAACATCATTATGATGGGCGACATGAATGGGGTGGTATCTACGAACATGGATAAAGCTCAAAGCCAAAGTATGACAAAAGAAGGCAGACTACCAAAGACTTTCTTTGAATTAACTGACAATATGGATCTAATTGACATCTGGAGAACAAAGAACCCCTTAGGAAGAGAGGGGACATTCTTTTCTGAAGCCAAAATGACATGGACAAGAATCGACCAAATATGGATAACTAGAGGTCTGGCACCCAAGATTAGAAAGGTGGAAATCTGCCCAAAAACCTGCTCCGACCACAATGCAGTAAAGATGGAAATGAGACTAATTTCAACTGGTTCCTTCAGATGGAAGATGAATGACACCTTATTAAGAGACCAGGAGATAGTTAAGAAGGCCCAAAAGAATTTGCGTGATTATTTCGAAATAAATTTGAAAACTACAGTTGAAAAAGAGTAATCTGGGATGCAAGCAAGGCAGTCATGAAGGGGTTTCTGATACAACAGAATGCGGTAAAGAAAAGAGCTTTGAATGAGAAAAAAGATAAGATTTTGGAAAAAATAAAAGAAGGAGAGAAAAAACTAAGATCGAAACCAAAGTCACAGGAGATCTTGAGAGAAATTAAACTCTATCAAGCACAATATACAAAACTGATAAACCAGGAAGTTGAATGGAAAATTAAACAAATGAGACAAAGGACTTTTGAATCGGCAAATAAATGTGGGAAACTGCTAGCATGGCAGTTGAAAAAAAGACAGAAATTGAATACAGTTACTAACTTAGAGATTGAAGGGAGAAACATTCAGAACCCTGTGGAGATCAGAAAATGCTTCCAGAGATATTTTAAACAACTTTATACCTAAGGGCCGCAAAAGGAGATTGAGATAGATCAATTTTTAAGAAACAACGGATTATCAGAACTATCCCAAGAAAACAAGACAATATTGAATTACAAAATAACAGAACAAGAGATTGAAGGTGCCATTCAGAACATGCAATTGGGTAAATCTCCAGGGCCGGATGGGTTAACCTCCAAGTATTATAGGACTTTGAAGGACTATTTGATTCAACCACTGAAGGAGGTTTGTAACGAGATTATGGAGGGGAAGAAGGCACCGAAGTCGTGGAAAGAAGCTTTCATCACACTTATACCTAAATCTGAAACTGAAAAGACACAACTTAAGAACTACCGCCCCATTTCCCTTTTAAATGTGGATTACAAAATTTTTGCAGATATTTTAGCTAACAGACTAAAGAAAGTGTTAAATGAAGTGATTCATAAAGACCAGGCAGGCTTTCTCCCAGGCAGACATTTGTTGATAACACAAGGAACATTATTGACATTTTGGAACTATTACAAATGAACACTAATACAAAAGCAGTACTGATCTTTATTGATGCAGAGAAAGCCTTTGACAATATTTCTTGGATTTTTATGAAGAAAAA